TTAAGAAAATGGTTAAAAGTGCTAGGGCAGAGGTCAAGGGATTGGGTGGCAGTAAGGCAGCAGACAGTTTGGTCTGCAGTCCCAAGGCATTCCAAGATTTTCTGCATTTAGGGAAAAGGCAGCAGGAGAGTGAAATCAACAAATTAACAAGGGACTGCTTGAAAAACCTTGTCTACCTGAAGTGCACAGACAGTTTTCAGTTTACCATCACATTGCTCTCACTTGATGAACTCACGCAAAACCGAGACAACATATCCCTTGTTGTCATAGATAGTATCTCGGCCTTTTATTGGTATGACCGCACCTATAAGGCAGGAACCTGGTATAAGCTTGAGCAACACTACAATCGGATCTTCAAGGTCTTTCTTGGCCATATCAGGAAGCACAAACTTGTCCTCCTCACCAGCCGTCAGGCCCTCTTCCAAAAGAGGTCATCAAAGGAAGAACGCAAAACCAGCTACCAAAATGAGGATGTAGATGGAGATTTTGATGTCACGGACTATGAGTACTTAGGTAGAGAGTGGGCCAGTGCCGTGACACAGCGTATTTACTTATCAATCGACACTCCAGGGGAAACTTCAAATACAGTCTTGCCTCAAGAACAGCAGGTGCATAATATGCAAGATTCAAACTGTCAAGGTGAGGAATCTTTCAGTATCATGGATAAATCCACTAAAGAAAGAACAACATATTTGGCTGAAGTGAATGGAAAAAATAACAAAAAAAACAAACTCACTTTTACAATACACGAAGATGGTATCAGACATTTGATTGCAAAAGAGTAAAGTGTTTTTTCAGATTTGTATTTATTTGATTTCTGATTAGAAATTGTGTGTTTATTTTGCTTTCTAGGAATTTGATATGAATTTTTGTATATCTTTGATATGAATTTTTTATTAATATTATTGTTTTTTATTACCATTAACTTGATTATTTTTATTACTTTTACTAGTTGTTATTAATATTGGTTATAGGAATTGTTTATTACTTTTAGTAAGTATTATTTCATTTTTTATATTGCTATTGCCATTATTTTTTTCATCACCATCATGAGCTATCATCATTATATTTATGTCATCAGCAAGATCATAATCACTGTGTCATTATCATTACCATCATTATAAGATAAGCCTTATTATATCACAGTTATATGACAGAGCAGCTGTGATTATTATACTGCTATAGTACATGAAAATTGTTGTTGTAGTCATAAATCACTACAAACTTTTAGTTTACTCTTGATGCAGGTGGAATTTATTTGATTATTGATGCAAATGTACAAAGGAATATGTTAATTGAAGAATAATCATATTAATGTTACATGCACACATATATTCTTGTATATGAAGAGAAATATGATTTGTATCATTATTTTTTGGAAATTAATGACAGTCCATTAAAAGAATGTATATATGTATATTTTGTTCTTTTCATATCCCATCACATAGATTTCAAGATTACATATTGTTTCTGGACATGATTAGTTTTAAAGTCATCAAATAAAGAAATCACTACCTGTTTCTAAGGAGAAATGAATTTGTTAATTTTCTTTATACGTTAATTTATCCATGTAAATATTGTACTTTTTTCTATCCAAATCCTCCCTATCCCAGTTTTCACCATTATTTTCTCAATACATATCTTATTTTGAAAAGTTTTGACCACAATGCTCTTGCATTGCATTGCAATACACATGCAGATACACACCATAAGTCACATTTAGGATTGCGAAAATAATGGAAAACTTGTTGTAAAAAAAGGCTTGTATGAGACTGGTTATTCATAGTCGTTTGTTTCTGTACATTATTATTGTGTATTGCAATTAGTTGTTGTGTTTTTATATTGCCTCTGAACTACTTGTCAGTGTATGATAGGTAGTTCAGAAGAAAAGCAGAGTAGTTGTAACATCTTGAGATCATTGTAGCTAATTCTGCTAATCTAAAAACTTTTCTCTTAAATAGAAGTCATGCTGAGTCCTTCCTCAAATTTGTTCAAGGAATTGATAAATTGAAATTTCATGTTTTTTCTTTTGTAAGCAAGAAGAAGGAAAAAAAGAAAAGAAAAGAATAAAAGAAAGAATTTTCTTATTATCATTATTGAAAAGCTACAAAAATCTGTTGATCTCTTTTCAACATATTTACCAGCTGGAATACCCAATTTAGCATAATGACTACTTTTTCTTTATGTAGTCATAGTATTTTTCTTAGCCCAAGGGTTAAAGTCTCTAAGGAGAGAGAAAGGAAAGTATGTTCTTCCAATGGATTTATGTGAAACTCTACTTTTTCTGTCTCGTGTTTCCCTTCCTCACCTGTCTTCCCCCCCCCCCCCATTTTCTTCTCTTTGTCTGTACATGGCTCTGTCTGCATTTTGTGCATTTCTCTGTGTCTCCGTTTCTCTCTCTTTCTTCTCCTCTTTCTTTCCCTCTCCCTCCCCCTCCCCGCCCTCTCCCTCCCCTTCTGCTCCGCCTCCACCTCCACCTCACCTCCACTTCCACCTCCGCCTTTGCCTCCGCTCCCCCTCCCCGCCTCTCTCTCTCTCTATCCTCTCTCCTCTTCCTCCCCTCCCCCCCTCCCCTCCCCCCTCCCCCTCCCCTCCCTCCCTCCTTTTGTAGCTTTTTCAATAAATGATAATAATTTTTGTAGATAATAATAATAATTTAATAATAATATAAATAATTTTCAATAATGATAATAGATTTTTGTAGCTTTTCAATAATGATAATAAGAAAAAATAATAAATTTTTAAATAATAAATATTTAAAAATAAATTTTAAATAATTGGGCTAAGAAAAATACTATGACTACATAAAGAAAAAGTAGTCATTATGCTAAATTGGGTATTCCAGCTGGTAAATATGTTGAAAAGAGATCAACAGATTTTTGTAGCTTTTCAATAATGATAATAAGAAAAATAATAAATTTTTAATAATAAATTTAAAAAATAAAATTTTAAATAATTTTAAATTTAAAAATTTTTAATTTTATCCCCCGCCTCATCTCTCTCTCCCTGCTCCCTCTCCCTCTCCCGTCTCTCTCCCTCTTCCCTCTCCTCTCCCTCTCCCTCTCCCTCTCCCTCTCCTCTCCCTCTCTCTCCTCTCCTTCCCTCTCCCTGCTCTTCCTCTCTCTCTCTTCTCTCTCTACTCTCTCTTCTCCGTCTCTCTCTCTCTCTCTCTCTCTCTCTCTCTCTCTCTCTCTCTCTCTCTCTTCTCTCTCTCTCTCTCTCTCTCTCTCTCTCCTCCCTCCCTCCCTCCCTCTCCCTCCCTCCCTCCCTCCCTCCCTCCCTCTCTCCTCTTCCCCTCCCTCTCTCCTCTCTCCTCTCTTCTCTCTCTCTCTCTCTCTTCTTCTCTCTCTCTCCTCTCTCTCTCTTCTCTCTCTCTCCCTCCGGTGCCCTCCTCCCTCCCTCCCTTCCCTCCTCTCTTCCCTTCTCCCTCTCCCTCTGCACCTCTCTCTCTCTAGCTGCGGTGGCTCTTCGTCTCTCTCTCTCTCTCTCTCTCTCTACTCTCTCATCTCAGTGTGCTCTCAGTCGGTCTGCTCCCTCGAATTGCGTGCGCGCTGCGTCGGTTAGTACAGACGGGGCGCGGGTACCAACCTTTACCGTCCCCTCGTGTTGTCTGCCTGTCATCCTCCCTTCCTCCCTCCCTTGTCATTTTTGTTTTTTTACATTGTTCTTTCTTACCGTTGTATACCAAAGGTAAAGACGCTGCAGGAGTTGTGTTTGTGTCTTGCTAGTCAGCCTCCGTTCCCTCCCTCGTGCCGCTTCCCTGGAATTGGCTTTCGCTCTCTCCCCTTAACCTCCTTGGGCCTCCCTCGCCCCTCCCTGCCCCTTTCCTCCCCTCCCTCCCTTCTCCTCCCTCCCTCTTCTCTCTCTCTCTCTCTCTCTCTCTCTCTCTTCTCTCTCTCTCTCTCTCTCTCTCTCTCTCTCTCTCTCTCTCTCTCTCTCTCTCTTTCTTTCTCTCTCTCCTCCCCCTTTTTCTCTCCCTCTCCCTCTCCCTCTCCTCTCCCTCCCCCTCCCCCTCCCTCCCCCTCCTCCCCCTCCCTCCCTTCCTCCCTCCCTCCTCCCTCCCTCCCTCCCTCCCCTCCCTCCCTCCCTCCCTCCCTCCCTCCCTCCCTCCCCCTCCCTATTGCTCGTTTTAGTTACATTATTTATTATGACATCCATAGTCGTCTGGTGTTGCAGAAATCTAGCATAAAAGAGTATCCCTTTATATATTACGTTTTCTACGAACACAACAAAACTTCATCGTTTTCTTTGAATGCCGTAATTTTCGGGTATACCAGTTCATGTATTTAAATTTATTAAGCTGATATATGAACTCTTAGTTAAATTATTGGATAATACAATAGAAACGAATAAAAATAGAGGTGCTGGCGTGATTTAAGTCAACACCTTTGTCATTCCATAAGTTCTAGGTAAAACATAATTGAATAATGAATATTACTAATCTAGATCCGATTTCACTTTTTTTGTTACCAATCACATTGATTCTTCAGAGCAAAGGTGTCTTAATTCTGTTGTTTACGGTGCTGATGCTTAAGTTTAAGGTGATGAAACCTGATAACACGAGGTCACAGGTCACTCTGGGGAACGTACTGAAAGACAGAGTTGTGCTACTGCAAAGGATCAAAATGGGTGCATTATTGACGATGGTTAGCAAAGTTGAGAAATATGTAATTTTAAATAATTGTTACAATGATATCGGTCAGAATGATTGTAAATAACGTTTATGACGGCTATAAAACAATAGTGATGGAAATTACAAACAGATATATTAATCCAATGAACCCATTATAAAGCATATTTAAAATGTTCTGAGTAAAATCATCTGTAAGAGCTTAACTTAATCATAGAAAACGAAAAAGAGGAAATGTGAGAAACGATTACCCCAAGGGGAATTTAAAAAAAAGAACCAGCGTATTTAACAAATGGTTTAACACTGTTCTTGTTTTAGTGATGCTTCCCATTTTCCATCTAATTTTTATTATTATTATTATTATTATTTTTTTTTTTTTTTTTTCATCTACGCCTCGCGTTATCCTTCTCTTGTGAGCCAAAGCTACCTGAAGCCACTTAGAACTTCCGTAATAGCCCTTATGTTTCCACTTTTACATCTTTCTGTCTTGTTCTTCGCATCTTTATTTTGTCTCCATTTCCCTTAGGTTTTGCTGATTCATCTCCAGTTTAGCGAGCAATAGTATGGATTTTTTTTTTAAGAATTTATTTTCTCTATTCATGCCTGCTTTGTCGTTGTTATGATAGGCAGCAGGTTCCGTTTTAAAGAAGCGTTCCCAAAGGCAAAAAATGTGTGTGGGAGTCATGATATATATATATATAATATATATATATATATATATATATATATATATATATATATATATATATATATATATATATATATATATATATATATATATATATAATATATATATATATATATATATATATATATATATATATATATATATATATATATATATATATATATATATATATATATATATATATATATATATATATATATATATATATATATATATATATATATATATATTATATATATGAGTGTGTGTGTGTATATATATATATAATATATATATATATATAATATATATATATATATATTATTTATATATATATACACACACACACACACACACACACATATATATATATATATATATATATATATATATATATATATATATATATACACACACACACACACACACACACACACACACACACACACACACACACACACACACACATATATATATATATATATATATATATATATGTGTGTGTGTGTGTGTGTGTGTGTGTGTGTGTGTGTGTGTGTGTGTGTGTGTGTGTGT